TCAAACTTAATAACTGTCATTCTTCATCACAGTCTCTGTAATTCATACACATGAGTTATATACAGAGACTCTCTTGAATCCCAATTGAGCTTATAGTATCATTTGGTAGTGCCATAGTATCACTAGGGATGGTACCTACTGAACCCCTTATTTTCAACCACTGCAATGTTAGCTCATTTATTCTGAGCTGATTGTCCTTCTGATTCATCAGAATTCTTTAACTTTCCCTTCTTGTTTTTTCTCATATTTTTTTAATCTTCTCTCAACATTTTCTTCAAACCTTCTTAGAGTTGACATCAAGAAACTTTCTCCTTCTATTGCAGGTATCCAGACTTAAACCTTATCTGAGCATACACTGTGTCTTTTTTACGTTGATGAAGGTCATGAAGCCCTTGTAAACACTGCCAAGCATTTGCTAAACACTTTTATAATTCCCTTGTCTTCCTCCAAACCCTCCCATGCCCCCAAAATTGTCTGACAGCTCTCTTGTCTCTATGACCCACAGAGAAGCCTTCAGGTCTCTGCTATGCCATTATCAGCACCATTAAATATTCAAAGTCATCTAATTGAGACTTGAATCAACCATGTGTCAGACAGCTTTTGCAAGCTATGACAAACCTCTAGCTTTTGTGTAGCACATGATTTCCTAAAGCATCTTGTCTTTGGTCTTAGTCTTGAGGTTCAAAGACTTTTCAGAAGGCAGAAGACCTGGCCACCAGTTAGCCTAAGTTTCTACCACTTCACCAGACTTAATTCAAGTATTTCCAATCTTGCTGAAGACATTTAAAAGATTCATGGGCTAACCCAACTTCTATGCCATCAATTTCTCACCAAGTTGAAATTTTTTATAGAGTAAAGAAAGAAGGAGGCTATATTTTATTCCAACATCCTACTCTATAATAGTGAGGACATCATAATCAAGCTCCCAGCTTTAAAAACATTCTGCACCCATACATACGAACGGTAGAAAATTGGACAGTCAACTGATACAAGTTATATTCTTCAGGTGCACTCTTCCTCCGTATTGCTAATTATAAAGTACTGTATATATGGAACAATATCATCATTCCTATTTCATTTGTTAAAAGACATGAGGCAAATAGTCCAGTTTTTCAACTGAACAGACAAAATTACAGTGTCGTCCATCTGCCTGTGTCACCATGCCTGGCTCTATGTGACCAGACTGACTCCAAAAGCTAAGACTCTGAGGACTGTTCTTCCATGAGGACAGCCTTATTCAGCAATAAGACTGACAACACTCTGCACACTGTTCAAAAGCTTCACACAATAAGATCCAAATCAGGACTGCAACCACCCTACTTCATCCCATCCCACTACAGTCTATGGTTTCACTCATGTCTCAACCAAAGTCTGCTAGTCTTTCAAAGAAAAAGAGCTTGCCATCCTATACCCAGAGGTTATTATCAGATGTCACCATAGCCTTCATATCAAGCACACCTTTCTGTGTTCCGTCATGACACAATGAGCAGAAATGAAGGGAGTGACAAGCAGCAAAGCTTGTTCATCTCCATCTTACCATATGATTCAGGCTAACACCATATCAGGAATTCTATTACATTCACAATTTGGCAGTAGATGGTTCTCTGGACAAGAAAGAGTCTTACCTGACATGCATTGTACAGAAGCTGATGCTCAAATTTCTTGATTCCCAAGATGTTCTGGAACATCTCATACAGCTGTTCCTTGCTGAGAATCAGCTCTGAAGCAGCACTTGCTGTCATTCTGGCTTGAGCTTTGCGTGGATCTTCTTCACCCCGATATATTGCATCAAATTTTGCCATCCAGGAACTCAGGACAGTCTCCTTACTGAGGCCATCAATCTCAGGGAGGCTACGGACCCTCTTTTCAATATGTTTCTTGAAGACTTCTCGGGAGTCATTAGCTGAGAACCCACCACTCTGCACCATTCTGGCGACACGATCACTTTTCAGAAATACCTGCAAGGAAAACAAAAACATAAACTTGATCCTTCCCAGTTTGTGAAAGAACTGGAAACATATCTCATTATAAAACTCCATAAGGTTCCTCATGCACCACCAATTAAGTATGTGGCATTCCGATCCTGCCCCCTCAGTCATAATTATTAGAATTCTAGGAATTGGAATACCACAGTTCAATAGCAGAGAATATACTCTGTATGCAAGTTAAAACAGGATAGGAGAATAGGATATGAGAACATGGTCAAATTCTGAACATTTGAAGAAAAAAAAATGTTTCTGGAGGTTTCAGAAGTTTTATTATTTTGTTTTTAGACTATTCTCCCACATTTCTTGCAGAAATTCTTAATTCTTCTATCTTAAAATAGAAATGAACTCTGGTCGCAAATACGCATTTCTATGGATCTGATGCAAATTGATATTATTTTGAATGTGTTTTCAAAGAATGTCACCTTCTAAGGTAATGAAATCATAAGCTGTTTTTCCCTGCTCACAGTCTCAGTTTTATGGGACAAATGGGCATTTCTAGCTGACCTTGGCTGATTTTGAAAAAGCTAAACAGGATTAGACCTAATTAATGCTTGGAATGAAGAACATCAGGAAACCCCAAAACTCTAAACTAGACTGTGTAGTCAAAACATATCCTAGAGGAAGACAGTGGCTAACTTCCATACTGTTGCTAGGAAAACTACAGGTATTTTTTCTGTAGTCAGAAAGGCAAACATCATGCTATCTATTCTATTACATCCATCTTTGAGGTTGAAAATGGAGATCATTTATTTTCTGTTATGATCTGTCATTAACTAGCCTTCATTTATGGGTCTATGATTTCCAGAAAGACAGTCTCTTCTTTCTTTATTATGGTTCAAGACCAGTACAACGTAAGTTAAGAAAACCCAAGTATAATTCGAAAATACAATAGCATTACAGATGTAACTATTAGATAATAGTATTATATCCAAGACAGTATATATTTTAGGCAGCTAACTGAGTGGCAGACCACAAGGATGCTAAAATGACAACATGCATGTGGCAATGGCATAAAGTAAATGCTGATGTCTGATACAAGTTCTGGCCTTTGTATGATGTCATTGTTACATACTTTCCCTCGTTTGCACCCTCATTCCTCCTGCAGACACCAATGAGCTAATTACTGTTTTGCTTCCTCCGTGTCCATGTTTTGTTTTTCATCCTACTTAGACTTACACTGGCTCTCTACTCTTTTCACAGCTTGCACCAATAAGATTGCTTCAGTTCACTGATATAGGAGTCAGAATGGTACATTGCTTGAGAAGAGCTCCTAACCCTTTAGTACTTGGTAGTGAAATAGTCCTGTAGCCATGGAAAAGAAGCCAGCTGGACTGGACTAGTGGCCCCAAAGCAACAGTGTTTAAGTCTTTCCTTCAGCTGTTCTTGCCATTTGCCCATTGAAGAATAGGGGGTATACGTGAAGGTTCTTCCATGAATTTAAAATTAATAATCAGGTGCATGAACACAGTATTTAGCCATGTAATGTATTTCTTCCAAAGCCTATGAACAATCTAACTGCACTGAGATCCTCAATGTCACCTCACTATAATCATTTCCTTTACCCCAAGTCCAAAACTTGGACTAGTTATTCCCAAACTTGATTTTTTTCTGAGTATCTGATTATTCCAAGAGTTTGGATAACTGTACTTTGTTCATTTCAGTAAATGCTGAAATACCTTGTGGCTAGGCAGAAACAATATAGCATGTTGTAAGAATGATGTATTACCTAAACAATTAACCTTATGGCATTATGAAACAAGTTGGGATTGCCGATATTCAGCAGAATAAATTTTCCAATATACTGTGGCCAGCGAGGGGCATTGTGGCAACGTTTAATTAAAAAATACTGCCGTGAATGACAGGGTGCTATTTCAGAAGCAAACACAGTTCAGATCCTTGTTATTTGGCTGCATCTGGTGTGAGGAAGGCAATCTGTGTTTCCTGCTATCCTCAGGATCTCTTATTATCACCACTCACAGTCATGCCGAGTACAAAGCACAGGTCAGATTCGGGGGATGAAAGGCACTTGACACTATAACAGCTACTCTGGGAACAGGAGAAAATCATGACTTTTTTTCTCCCTAGGAGCCATTTGTCAACAGTGACCTCTTTGCAACAACAGTGTGAAAAAACAAACCCACTTAAAATATGAAAGAGAAATGTTCACCTGGAAGATAGTGTCATTCATAGAGGGAATAAAACATGACATTGCCCTTTTCTGAAGGGAGCACCTTTCTACCAGATGAAGTGAAATTATTGGAAACCTTAAATGCTTTCCATGAATGAATGAGTGCCAGCCAACCTTCAGTTGTGTATAACATACACATAGAATTAGCTGTGTATAACATACACATAACTGGCATCAGTTTCAACATCAACCCAGGTTCCCACAGAGCTTAATATTCCATCATGGGGCTTGTTCATACCCTGAAGCCATCTGAAATGTTCAAGAAATTCTTGTTTTTATTTGTGTCTTATCCAGAGGAACAACTTCATATTCATCATTCAAACATGCAGGAAAAAGGTAGGTTTGGAAGAGACCTCAGATGTTCTCAGATACAGAAATAAGGAGCCAGGTGATGGCTGGGAACAGGACAGGACACATCTCTTTAGATATTAGATACAAGGTAGGGGGGTTTACTACTCATAGATGTATATCTCATAGTATAGAGGTTTTCCATTTTTTCCATTTGGGGATGCCCCCAGAGAGAGGAGGATCACAAAAGTCAAGATGGCAGCCACAACTATGTGATTAAAGCCCTGTTCCTTTTTTAGGTGCATTGTGACTTACACCCATTTAACAAGAGGAACAAGACTGCAAGTGGAAATAAGGCTCCTTCCATTTCTATATTTGTACTAATTGCAATTTCTTCAACCTCTGTGTTTTCACCTATAAAATATGATCATCAATAATTTTAAATAGAGAGCAGTATATTGTTGTTATGCTCAGTTGAATCATAACTGATTCCTGGTGCCTCTGTGGATAAAAACTTTCCAAACTGTCCTGTCTCTCACTGCATTATGCAATTCTTGCAGGTACATTTTTGGGGCTTCCAGTTCTCCATCTATTCACCTCATCTGCTGCCGGCCTGTTCTTAACCTTCTGTCTACCTTGTCTAGCACTGTTGTCTTTTCAATCAGCCCTCATAATGTGTTCAAAGTATTAAAAATAAATTAGTGGTAATTAGTTGTGTGATGGATTGGTGTGAGAAGGTTCAAGGACAGAAGCATCTCCTCAGCCCACAGCTTGAGCATGGGAAAGCGAAGAGGATGAGACTGGCACCACCCTAAGGAATTCGTAGTGTTTAGTTGCTGGCTTGGGGAGTTTAGAGTGAGTCTGGCAAAATTGATGTCAGGTTAAGCCCAAGAAACTCCACAAGGCAGTAATGGAACAGCTCAGTTACTTTATTAGCTCACACCTGCTAGACAGAATCTCGCCAGACTCACTCTAAACTCCCCAAGCCAGCAACTAAACACTACGAATTCCTTAGGGTGGTGGAGGTTGCTTTCCCATGCTCAAGCTGTGGGCTGAGGAGATGCTTCTGTCCTTGAACCTTCTCATCCCAATCCATCACAAGTTGCCTTTGACCAGACCAGAACTTCATGCAGCTTGTGTTATGCAGCTGTGTTTAAATAACTGATCTTTAGTAAATCAGAGAGAGGGAGAGAGAAGGAGGGATGGAAGCAGGGGCCATGCAGGTTGTAATATTTAAAAGATTAATTCATATTTTTTGCAATAATTATAATCCAGCAAGGTTTGGAAATAATCTAGTCCAGTAAGTGACAGAACATGGCTGATGTGGACCTAGAAAATTACAGATGAGCCTTAAACTCATCATTAGATTGAACAATCAGAATAAAACATTCAATATTCAATTAGATTTTAATAAATAAATAAATAAATAAATACATAAATAAATAAAAACTTATAAAGCCCTTCCTGATGTCCAATACAGAGGATCCTGTAAATATCTGGAACCATCTTTGGAGCCACCATTTTTTTTTAATCAGGCTCTGCTCAGACATTATTTTGTTCTCTCATCTCCTGGATGTATGTTAGAGTTCTAAGTAAAAATCAAAGAGGATTCTGCAAGCCTGAAGGATATGCTTGCTCTCCCAAACATTTTCAAAGAATGCAGAAATTTCCAGTACCCTGTCCTTCAATATGGGTAGACTGCTCCTGGGATTTTTCACACCATGGGGAAATGGGAACTACTGAACACTACTCAAAGCAGCTTACATGATAAGAGAAGGCAGAGAAAAGGCCAGATTTGATTCTCCTATTCTGTTTTCCCCAATGACTGTGAGCTTTACAACAGTGATGTATTCTTATTTAGATTAGTGAATTTAGAATAAAACAAATACCTAATGGGATAAAGAGAATGGGATGAAATGAAGCTGGTATCAGCAATGTTATTATTTCACTATAAAAGGGGTGGGTGGGGTAGGGGGTAAAGGATCATGATACCACTGGAAACAAGGGGTATCCAGAAAAGTAAGGGAGAGAAATAACAGGATAGATTCATTTATGTATTTAGCAGAAAAAGTAAGGACTTCTAACAGGTTAGAGGGTCTAGAGTATTAATTTATTTGGATATTGAGGAAGATATAGATATAGTATGCTGGAAAACAACTGGTTAGGCAATGTGTAGAGAAATTTTCTTTACATGGAGTTGCTCTTGAAGATCACCCAGAAACTTTTGAAGACCACCTAGAAACTTCAAATTGTACAAAATGCAGTTCCCAAGTGTTTATTGGACAATCACAGTACTGTCACATAATACCATTATTACAGGAACTACATTGTCTGCACAAACTGGTTTCTTTCTAAATGCAATTCAGGGTGCTGGTTATTACCTCTAAGACCCTATAAGGCTTGTGGTCTGGGTATCTTAAAGGCTGCCTATCCCAACCCAGGTGAACAGGGACCACTTGCTGAAGGTCCCTACCTATCAGGTGGCATGAAAGGG